TGATGATGATGATGATGATGATGATGATGATGATGATGATTATGATGATGATGATGATGATGATGATGATGATGATGATGATTGTGGAAAGAGAGTATAGAATATCGACTACTGTGCGGAAAGTTACTTTCAATTTTGTCCGTGACGTTTTAGAACTCTTTTTCCATTCTGCCATTTTTTTAGAGTCAGGGTTGCCGTATTTGCAGTTACAAACAAGGTGAATTTACAGGTGCAATGATATCTGTGTTGTCATTAAATTGTCAAAATAACAGTGATAGTCGTAAAGCGCATAGAGTATGCTAAGGAGCGTGAGTAAGCGTAATATAAATGCAATTGTTATTGTTATTATTATTATTACTATCATAATTAATATTCTTATAATTATTATTACAATGAGACCACGAAGAGTTATTTGACGTACCTCGTGAGACTAAAGCACTATTCTGTAAGTGTTGCGTGCTAGGGTGTGGACTTAATTTTCTTATGAACACTTTGAGGTAACGTAGGGACCGGAATACAACGTCTAGCTCCGACACAACCAAGTGAAAAGGGTGGAGAGACTTCATAGCTCTCTCGTCTAAACAACTTAAGATAAAGAGAAAGCCCCAATTCCGAATCGAAACAGGGTTATCCTAACTTTGTTGACAGAATTTTGTTCTAATTTGTGCCCCCTCCTCCACTCACCCCCCTCCCCTCTCTCTGTCTCTCTCTCTGTCTCTCTCTCTCTCTCTCTCTCTCTCTCTCTCTCTCTCTCGATTTTTATAATATAATTTTTCTTTTAAAAAGTTGTTTAGTTTAACTTTAAGAGCAAGTTTTATTTGTCTAGAACAGTACAATATGCCTAAATGGGATTAACATCCATTCCATCCATCACTTTGCATTTATTAAAAAGGCGGGAACCTCCGATATAACCTCTTCGACTAGACAGAGCCTGGTGGGAAAATCTAATTGTGAGACAGCGTGATGGAATCAGGCTCTCGTCAACTTTTGGGCATGTAGAGTTATTGGTATCATCTTTATTTGGATGAAAAAATATCCATTTATCTTGAATACAAGTCGAGATATTTGCGAATGAAGGAGGTGGGGGGCACCTGTTTTCAGAGGTAAAATTAGTGAGAAAATGGCCGCCAAAGATTAGTTATTTCCTTAGCTTTAGAGTCCAGGTCAACTGAAAATTTACATATTTTGTGCCTTTAATCAACGTTTTTCTGAAAAATTCACACATAAATGTGTTCTTTAATTGGCATGAAAGGTGTTGAGCCAGAAAACAAAAATGTTCTAAAAATTCACAAACCTGTGGAAAAATGCAAGTTTCTTCACTTTGATTATTTTGACGAGAGCCTGATTCCACCTCGCTGCCTGACAATTGTAGAAGTTTTACGCCCCCATCGACGCTATGTTTGAATCAGGAATCAGGAGACGGGCTGCTCCAATCCCACCTTTTTAGGCTATCTCGGGCTAACATATTCAAGCAGACAGACGGAGATGGAAAACCATGACA